AGAAAGACCCACACATGCCAGCCCTTCAAAATTAAAACAAGAAGCCCCGAAGTATTCATTTTGGTATTAATTTTGTTTTACATTAAAAACTCTGGGAACTTTTAAAAAACGTCTTGCAGGAAAAAGAAAGAGAAAAGAACTATTCTCTGGAAACCATTTGTTCACAACTCGAACTGTGCCGTTTTGGCTTAGAAACAAAACTCGAGACGCCCAACCCTGTTCCCCCTCCCCCCAACATATATCTTTTCACCACACATTTTAAAATAAATAATATTACGAGTCTTTCCAGAATGCCTCCTTGTTATGAATTGATAGGATACAACACGCCCCAGCTGTGTGCCTGGAAGTTGGGATTTAGCCCTTTAAATGCCAGGACAACATCTGCAGCGAAAACAATTACGGAGGGTTCGCCCTCATCCATTGGGTGCTACCGGTGGGAACCGGCGGGGCCGGGCAGCCCTGACAGGGGTCTCCGGGAGTACCCGGCACACGGGTGCACCCCCGGGTGCCGGGGCAGCCCCGCGAAGCAGCAGGCGGGCAATTGGTGGGCTGGGTGCAGACAATCCTGAGAGAGAGTCCCCAAGTAGGCGATGGAGGAAATAGTGCTTTCTCTGACTCTCCCCGCAAGCGCTTTCAATTTTACCATGCCTTTCGTCCCACTGTTCAGCAAGTCAAAATATAACCAAGTAATTTCAGTATCTAGTCTCCAAAGAACTAAACAAAATAGCAAAAAAATTGCCAGAGTTCTCCTTGGAGGTGTCCAGCTTGGGAAACACTGGTCGAACAGACGCATTTTTTCATCCCAAAGCAAAATTAATTCAACCTCCAAGACATTTTCTAAGGACGCTTACTTAGTAAAGTTTTTCGGTGGCGATTTTGTCCGAGAAGAGTGCAGAATAGCATAGCAGAAGCATTTATAGTGTGATCTTGTGTTTTGGGGCTTATAACAGGTGTCAAAGTTCTCTTCGGGAAGAATGAAATACATATATATATGCATATATATATACATATATATATGTATATATATATATACATATATATATGTATATATATATACATATATGTATGTGTGTATATATATATATATACATATATGTATGTGTATATATATATATATATATGCACACGTATGTGTGTACCATTAAACAAAATGACCACTTTGCTTCAAACCATATGTGTGCAAAAGAAACATCAGAAAAATGTTACCATTTTAAACACCTTCTATGCCTATACAGCTCAGACTCAGTCAGACTATATTATACGACCTTATCATGTTTCAAACTTTTTTTGTCGGTTTTAGTGAGACACTGCCATGGAAACCATCTCTTTAATAAGTTGAACGCTTTCAATCTTAGGTTATTGCACATCTCATTAGGGGTGGACAATTCAAAATATCTTTGTTTTCAACAATAAAAAAAGACATACTAGTAATGGAATTCTCAATGACGTCACAGTATTGATATATATTACGATGATCGACCATCACAAATAAAAAAGTACGATGAAGCACATGCTTACAGTAATATACCTTTAGAAAATGAGCTACAATTAGTTACTGTCCCTTCTGGTCTCCCTGTATCCAACGTGATATTCCCTTCTTACAGCCAAGAGCGGAGGGGAAAATAAATTAAATAAAATCTCGAATTCGTTGTCCGGCAGAGAACATCATTTCTAACAGCTGTTTTACACAGTAGGAGCCAACGACCGAAAAAACCCTGAGGAGTGAGCCCTTAACCCAGGGCACTGTACACCTTTTCTATCCATGTTCCCACATATACGTTGATGTTCACATATTCTATTCCTATGGCTAGAGGTCAAAGCACCAGCAGCGTGCCACTCTGGGTCATGGAGAGGCAGCGCGTATAAAACCGTCGAAGCTCCATAAAGCTTAAAAACTCTGTGTGAGGATAACTTTTCCTTTCCTTTGGCACCCCCTCCGCTCGGCGAGCGCAGATGCCCGTCGTGCCAGGTACGGGCTGGGCAGGGGGAAGGGACTCGGAGGCGGGCGAACCGGGGCTACTCCGCCACCGCCTCCTCCCGCCGGGCGATGTGTTCGAGGAACTCCCGCCAGGACACAGCCCGGTACCCTCTGCCCGGGTGCGCAAGGAAGGGACACATCCCCGACTGCAGAAGCCTGCGCTCCAAATCAAACCACGGGTTTGTCTCTCTTCCCTTTCTCACCGGGACCCCCACTAGAGTCAAACCGGTTTCCTAAAGGCAAAGTGCCTGTTTCAGAGCCCTTTAAATCCCAGCCTGGCCCCAGGATACAGCGCACACGAGGATGCGTGTGCATCTGCGCTGCGGTCGATCCAAGGAGAAGGAGCAATGAAACACTGAAAGCGCTCGCAGCTGGCAGCGCACCGCAGTGCCCACGGAAAGGCGCTGCGGCGGAGACAGAGGGTCCCAGACCCCGGGTTACCGTCCGCACAGCCGCCCGGTCCTGTGCCGCGGAGCTTCGGCAAAGGAGAACGGCCTCTTTTTTTTTTTTTTTTTCCCTTCTTCTTATTTCTTTTTTTTTGTTTGTTTGTTTTGTTTTGTTGTTGTTGTTTTTGTTTTGTTTTGTTTTTCCCCTTTTCCCTTTCCCAGGAAATGCCGAGTTCACGCGCAGAAATCGGCAGAAGGGGAACGAGCGACTGCGCTGCCCTGCTCTTGCAGTTGCCCCTTGGCCATTGGAGCTCTCCGAGCCTGCCTGCCTCTCCCGAGGATGGATGTGCTCCATGCCCCTGCCGCGCATGGAAACGCAGGCCATCCTGCGAACGACACGTTGCCTAAATAAAGATAAAACATGCTATACATCACAGGCTTTCCCCGGTTATTCTCCACGACTTGTCGATTCCTCCCCACTCCCCACCCACCTCCTTGCTCCCCGTGGCACACGTACAATGATAGAAAATGGTTTTAAATGACGAGGGGTCACGTAGAGCCATCCTGATCGTTTAGTAAAAATAACAGAGCTATTATATAGAGCTGAAGGAAGGAACCAGGGAGTTCACCCACACATGCTTCAATATTGTGCCTCGACTGAACGCACGCACATAGGTAAACATATCTCTACTTGCATACGCATGTATATGCAGAGGGACCATCCCATGTGACTCTGCTCAGCACACTCTCATTAGGCCCTAAATGTACACATGTGTGCACAGATGACAGTGCGCGCCCATGTATGTAGGGGAGGGGGGGACGTGGAGGGGCTGCTTGTGTCTTCGGGATGGAAATGCACATAAACCCTTTTATGAGAGCTCGGGAGACAGCAGTTGCTCACTAACCTACTTTTTTTTTTTTCTTTTTTTTTTCCCCCATCTCTATTGCCGAAAACTGGAAATAATTAAATTCTTTAAAGGTTTACTTTTGAAACCGTGGCTGAAGTAAACTATGATTCAGGTGTAAATAATTACCAAAGTCATGAAAGCGGCAACTGCTACATGTGGTTTATTCATTGCTTTTTTTTCTTTTCTTTTTTTTTTTTTTATCGTTTGATCATTTTCATCCCTAACTGTCTGCCAAATTCACATATTTGTAATTTACTAAACTTTATCGTTCCTAACAGGATAGGGATGTTATACATTAGTTTCTAGACCCATTCTGCCCTGCCCTGGTGGAGAAACCTGGCTGGAACAAACTGGATGCTCCTCAAGAAAGGATAACGCGATTACTCTGGTATTTGGAAAAGCTTTCCATATCAGTTTAGAGAAATTACAACTGAATAAAAGATGTTTTCCCTTTCATAAACGCTACCAGACCCACTCGATTTTAGACTCCGGAGAAGAAACGAGTTATTAAAAGAAAGAAATTGTTTAAACACAATAGATCCTTGCCCAAATGAAAGCACTCCCGGGGGCAAGACTAGCAGGATTTGGCCAGAGAGCATGAAAATCAGAAGTATCAGTTAAACGAAAGCCTTAGAGAAATAGGAGAAAGGTGGATATATAATATACACCTTATAAACAATCCCCCAGGATTGATTTCATCCCTGTTTTCTTCAGCCTGAGCCTACTTTTTTTTTTCTTTTTTCTTTTTCTGTTTCTTTTTTTTTTTTTCTTTTCCTACACTATAAGTTCAAGGCATTCATCTCTTCAAAAAGCCATGGTGAAAAAAAGGCAGGAAAACAATCTTTTTTTTCTTGCCTGTGTCCTATTTTAAAATACTTTCTCATAGTAAGCCACCACTTGAACATGTTCTGGTGTTGTAAAAGTGTTTTTTATCAGGCTGTAAATTACTACCACTCTGACAGGGCAACCGGAAATGTAAATCACACCGTAGAGCTGAAGTTATGAAAAAGTTTGTTCCCTTTTCTGTGTCCCAGGAACATCGCGGGGCTGCTGGATTGGAAAGGGAGGGGAAAGACTTGTTTACTATTTTCCTTCTCCAGCAAACTGTTGGCTCCACGGTGCCTGGGACTTTGATGAGAAAGAATGGACAATGTGCAGAGTCCCTTTCCATGACACCCAGGCCACCGCCACTTGGGAGGTCTTTTGGCCTAATGCAACCACAGCTAACTGCTCCCAACAGGAGGCTCTGTGGATCAGGCAGGGTCACAATTATACTTCTGCTAAAGGCAAGACTTGCTCTTAAAAAAAAAAAAAAAAAAAAAAAAAAAAAAAAAAAAAAAGAAAAAGGGAGGGGGACGGTTGAATTAAAGCCTTTCAATTAATCTGGGGAAGGAAGGACCGAGAGAGTGGATAGCTGGAACTGTTTCCAAGAGGCATGAGCACAATCAGGTTGCGTCCACCCAGAGGGAAGTTTTGGGGAATGAGGTCCGGGACGTTTTGCATGGGGGTTGCTCCCACCCCAGGGCTGCCACACCAAGTCTTCCGTGGGAGCAGCATGCCTCCCCCGCGTTCGTGCGAAGTGGTTTGGGGTCTCATCCGCGGGCGGAGTCCTCGCTGGTGTCAGACATTTCGTGGGCATTAGTCCTCTGAGATGGGGAGGAGACGCGTACGCAGCCATAGTCGAGCCCTTCAGCATCACCCACTTGCGCGGAGGAGAAGGGCTCCGGGAGGAGACACCACATCTCCCTGGCCACTGATTTCTGCCACTCGGGGGGCGTTATTATTTTCTAGGGGTAGGAGGACAGGAATGTTGAAACATTATATGTCTCGAACAGGGGTACGAGTTTCCCTGCGTTGTTAAAACCCGTGCCTCTTGCATTTATGTGAAGAGGTGAAAAAAAGGGGGAAGAATGGAAGAGAGGGGTCTCCCCACCTCTCCCGCTTACCGAGGTGGCGGCTGCCGGTGCCGGTGATGGACGCGGCGCCTCCGGGTTCGCAGTTGACCCGTCCTGCTGGTGAGACTGGCGGATGTGCGTCTTGAGCCGCCCGTTTACCCTTCCCCTAATCCACCCGCTCTTCCTCCTGTTCCCGTATAAAGACCCCAAATTCACGCAGCTCCGTTATCACCCCCGGTGGCCCGAACCCTGTTGGGCCGGGAACTTTGGACGGATGGGGCTGCCGGCTGCTGCTTATTGCCGCGGCGAGAGGGACAAGGAGAAGGGTCTTACCTTATCCCCCTATTCCCATCCCCTCCCAGTGCCTGGGGCAGGGGGACTCCTCCGCCGCACAGTTCCGGGCGACTCCTTGCAGGCAGAGAGATCCGACCGCGGGAGTGGGGACGGGCTCTGGGGACCACCCCGGTCGGCGGTCCCGGCCCCGCTCACCGCCGCCCCCCGCTTACCTGGACCAGGCTCCCAGTGCTCGGCGACGGGCTCGCAGCGGGACGTGGGCGAAAGGGGAGGCCTAGGCCCCCTGGGTGGGGAAGGGCCCGGTCACGGACCATCTCCCCCCCCCACACCCCAGAGAGATCCGGCTGGAGGAAGAGAGAGGGAGGAGAGAGGAAAAGCCTTTTTTTTTTCCTCCCCTTTCTCTCCTCGTTTGAGCCGAAGTGACCCGCAGTATCTGGAGAAGGTTTTTGAAGACGTTTGGGAGGGAGGGAGAGAGTTTTCTGCTGAGAAACTCAATCTGCCATACAGTAGCGGCTGCATCTGGGATCTGTCACGGCTGACAGCACCACAGGGCACAGACATGATCTGCCGCGCAACACTGCAACTCCCCAAAATACCCTCCTCTCTCCCAAGGTATCTGCCGGGCTGTATCACTCTCCTTCGCCAAAAGGGGGAAGGCAACCTGAACTCCCGCAAACAAACACACGGAGGGGAAGGCAAGATAGGGAAGACCCCTCTCCCCCTTCCCCTCCTCGATGCTGAACCCGCGGCAGCTGAGGACGCAGGGCAAGAGGCGATGTCATGCTCCGAGGGCGCGCAAAGGCCATAAATGTCCTCGCGCCGCGAGATTCCCGGGAATGACTTTAATGAATAATTTCGGAGACAGTTATGGCTTTAGGTAATTACAGCATGGCTCTATGAAAACCAGATTTGGCAGAAAAGCAGTCAAGGCCGAACCGTGAGCTTCGGCTCTCCCTTGCCAGCCCGCTCCAGACACTCACCCCCCCCGCGTCGCGGCTCGACCCTCCGGACGTCCCCGGCCTCCTGCAAGCCCCCAGCTGCCGGGGACCTCCTTCGGGCAGCGCTGCCAGCAATTCTGTGAGGACTGGAGGCTTGTGGGGGAAGCACCTAATATTATTGTTGTTATTATTATTATTTTTTTAATCTCTTCCGCCTCCTGTATTTTCTGGCAGCACATTTCGTTGTCTTTTAGGCCAGTTTAAAAAAAAACTTCTCCGGGTTTGCACGCGTATTTAGCTTTTAAAGAAGTTCATTACACGCAGCTGTTGCAGCCTATAGCCACATATGGCATGCAAATAGGGACCCCTATAGGAGAGTCGGCCTCTCTATTACCCCCACATGTTTGTTCAATAGACGGGGCCGGCAAAACGACTCTACTGCTATACATTAAAATAGAATTATACATTTTTCTTCCTAGTCTTTTGGGCAACTCAAGGGCTTGTTCCTGTTTTGAACAACCTCCACGGTTAGCAAATGAAGGGCTCCGAGATGCGGACACGCTGATCTCCATTGTTCGGCTAATACATCACTGCTGTTCTCAGAAACCCGCTCCGAGTGGCAGCCATACCTAGCCCCCAGCCCAGTGAGTAGCAGACCCTTGTGCCTTGCCCAGCCAAGTCCACAGTACCCGGCCTGCTTCCCCCCAGGGTTCGCTCAGACTTCCCCTATGGGAAGAAGGCTCCAGGGTCAGTGTCCCAGGGAAGAGGTACCGGGACGACAACCTCAGCCCTGCTGCAGAGCTGTCAGCAGTCAGAGCTCCCCCGTAAAAAAAGCTCTCCCTCTTTTTTTTTTTTTTTTTTTTTTTTTTGATTTACTTACCCCTCCCGACCCCCTGGGTCAGTGGCTGTGGCGGGAAGCCGAGCTCACAGCATACCGTTTGCACTGATTCAGAAAGGAAATAGTTCCTTTTCCTTTCCAGATTACAGATAGACACAGCATAGCGTTGTGGTATCTTAGAGGTTTTATTTTATTTTATTCTGCTGGAACAAAGAAATAGAAGTAATTTTTAATTTATTTTTAGGGTAATTTTTTTTTCCTTTTCTTCCTCCTCCTGGCAAGCGTATTATACAGCAAGAATTTAATCCTTTAGATAAACAGTCTAACATTATCTTTTTCCTCTGGAGACGAAATCAACTGCTTTCTCATCCACATACCACCCCCACACCCCCGCCCGCTCCTTCCTGGTAGTAGCACTGATTGTAATGTACAGCTGAACAAGTGTCAGCCATCCAAGAGTGCTAACAGCCAGCAGAGGCTTAAGTCGTATTTATTCAATTATTTTTTTTTTTTTTTATCTCCTTAGGGGAAAAAAATAAAGAGTGGTACGACACATAAAAAAATCGTAAAGTTAAAAGTTTGTGAAAATAAGGGTAGCAAATTTGGTCTCGGGGCCCCGTGAGCCAGGGCTTCCAAACTGGTTGCTCAGCGTTACCGCTAGATAACCCCAGATCTCAATTAGAGGCGATTCATTAGGATTTAATAGCAGGTGCAAAGCCATCTCCTCGCCAGCAGCACCGCCGTTTGGGTAGGGAATCGTCTTGTTTTAGAGCAGTCTCCAACTCTCCCGGCTTGTTGTAAACCTGACTACCACTTTGGATGGCGGGGTGTCGGCGCGCTTGCGACTGCCCGCACGTAAGCGTTGCACTTTGTTTGGCTAATTTCTCCCTGCCAAGACATAAGGTGGAAATCTGCCTGGCTCGGTATTTATTTTGGAAGACAGCCCTGTGAGCGAATGCGCCGCGAGAAATCGAGCTGAGATAAAGCAAGCTCTGGGCCGGGGGCTGGGGAGGGGGCTGAGTGGGTGGAGGAATAACACCAACCGCGGAATGCACCGCTTTTGCTTTCTCCAAGTTTCAAACAGACAAATAAACAAACAACCTCGGCGGCAAACTCCAGAAGTGCCGGAGACTTCGGGGGCTCAAAATTGGGCTGCGCCGAGGAGCCCCGGGGCGGGAGTGCCGCGTCTCGCTGCACCCACATCCCAGCTGGCGGCCGCGGCCGGGCCGGGGCTTGGAAAGCGTCGCCGCGATTACACCCAAGTGGAGAGCAGGATGGCTCCGAGCCGTCTGATCTGACGTCAACATGTCTCTAGCTCCTCGCTGCAAGATAGAGGGAGCAGAGCCGGGGGAGGGACGGCTCTAATCATTCCCAGATGTCTCTAATAGCAGATATAAAGACTTATATAGTGTCTGAGAATAAATTTGTAATCAATGCTCTAAAATCGCATCATCAAAGCAATGGTATTTCTAGAGGCAAATGGGGTTGGGGGAGGGAAAGCTGTGGAAGAGGGAGACACACACCGCGCTGATTTGGAAGGTGGAAAGGGAGGCACGGGAAACACCAAAGAGCCGCTGGCCCTGCGCATCACTCGGTTTTGCTAGAATTTATGTGAATGTATAATTCAGATAACAACTCTGCTTTACTCTGCATTGTGACAAGCTGAAACAGCCGAACAGTAATTGGCCAAGTAGAAATAGAAAAGATTGGAGCTGGTTTGCAAAGGCACATATTTCATGGCCCACTGAAAAAAAAATCCCAAATTAAAAATATATAAAACATTGATAAGCCTCTCGTTACAGCAGAGGGGATTATGTCTGTAGGCGTGGGGAATGCTTTTCCTTCCCATCGCTACTTGGAGGTTTCTTCTGTGTGTGTTTGTGAGTGGCCGGGCGAGTACGTGTGAAAAAGGATTAAGGTTAGGTTTCCAAGGGCAAAAAGAGGATATTTTGCTTAGAGGTTTTATTATTAACCTTCTCTCCCCCACCCCGTCCTGCCCACCTTTCAAGCTCCTGTTGTCTCCAAGGCATCCCCTGGTCGTGTTTATATCCCTACATTTGCCCACGTATGTCCCGGCGCTTGTTCTGGGGGTGTCTGCGGCTTGACCAGAGAGGCCCCGTTATACCTTTTTGACAACGGTAGCAAATAAGTACTAATTATTGCAATAGTCTTTTGACTTAGACAAAAGCTCCTGGGAACGATGGAGGGAGTGGGGTGTGAAAAAAACCCGAATTCTCCACAACACAAAGCAAAATGGAGGGGAAAAAAAGCGCCCCACCACCATTTATCTCCCTTGCCTGCAGGAATGCAGGCATGGCATCCACACCCGATAGCAACGAAGTCCTATAGGGGTCCTACATATTGCTGAATGTCCCTCAAAACTCAGTACTGCCAGTTGCCGATAGACTTGCTGCCAGTAGCGGGGTACAGGGCCTGACCCTTGCTGTGACATATGCTTCCGAAAACAGAGATGAGCTCTAAAAACCCATACTTCTGTCTGCCCAAATCGAACACCCTCAGGGTCCCCTGGGCCTCACGCAGCCGCTAGGGAGGTCCTTACCTCCTTGCGAGGAGGCGACCGCTCTGTTTCAGGCATGCAGCCGGGCCCGCACCCCAGGGGAAGCGAAAAGTCGCTCCTTGGGAGGGCACGGGTAGAGGGATGTCACCCGAAGGAGTTTTGTCGCTGCTCCTCTTCAAGGGCAAGAAAAAAAATAAAATGCCGTGTTGCTTGAGACTGAGCAGAGGATCCCGCTCCCTAAGCCACGAAACGAGGCCGTTCACGGATCCATGAGTCTGTGTGCAGTGACAGGGCTTCAGCCACTCTCCATCGGCCCCCTGCCCTCCCCTGTCCCTCCCCGCACCCGTACAGAAATGTTGCAGAGTGGGAAAGGCTACCATCCCTCCTCCTACGTGCCTTTCACCTCGGTAAAAGCTCCAAAAAATGTTTTGGCCCCGAGGAATTACCGGACAAGTCGGCGGGACGGTGATGCCCCCGGGTGCGGGCAGGGAGTGGGGCTCAGCGCTGCACTGTTATCAGGCCTCGGCTCCGCCGGCGAAGAGCTGAGGCCAGGGCACTGACATCCCCGTCTACCATCAATTTACCTTCTGCTTCCCCATTTAGCTTTTAACGTCAAACCCTACATTTTTGTCGGCTCCGGCCTGTCTAGGGCTCTTGTGATTTAGCTGCGGGAATTGCTGCTCCTGAGAAAATAGCAACATTCTCGTTAGTGAGCAATTAAAAGAGGTAGTCCGTAGTGGATCCAGAGGAGCTCACGGTTCTGATAATCTGAACTTTCAAAAATGGAAAATTATTGATGGGGAAATATGGGACAGGCGATTCGAAGACTGCATATCGGAGCCGCTCGCCAGCCCCTGGCCCCACCGCGCATCCCCCGGGGGAACTGCAGCCTGGTGACTCGGTGAAGGGAAGACATAGCATCTGCAGAGAGGCTGCCCGGAACGTGCTGCACCGCAGCGTTCGAAGCCACCCCTCTCCCCTTTCATTCTTTTGTGTATTGCTATAAAGAAAAAAAAAATAATAATTGTTTGAGCAGAGAGTGGGGAGTGCGAGAAGCTCCAGTTCATCAGCTGGACAACTAATAGGCAAGTAAAAGCAAACAAGGGGGGAGATTCTTCTCTCCAAGTGTTATAAACAGAGGCAAGTGCCTGTAAACATAGATCCAAGCCGAAGAGCAGAGCGGAGCTGCCTGACCCGACGGGAGGGAGGGCACATCACTTTTGTCCGGTTGTTGTAACCCCGCAACCTCCCCATTGTCAACAGGGGCGACTAAACGGCGCAGGGGCTCCCTTATCTTTTTATGGGCAATTGCAAATCTACCTACGCTTACGCCGGGTCTCGTCGGGAACCACTTCCTTAGGCGCGGCGGCACGGGAAGGCAGGAAGGTATGAAGCCTTGGACCTGAAGAGAAAGCCAACTTGGTTTAAATCGAGATGACTTAAGTATGAGTTTAAAATACGAGCCCGAATTTCATTATGGAAAAGGTGGAAAACTTGTCGCTTAACCGGGAGTGGACAAAAATACCTAGAGCAGCTTCCTTATGTGAAAACCTTTTAATTTTTCGCTTGCCTGCCTATGATACAGAAGCAAGCCATGCATTTCCCAGCTCTGAATGTCTGCAGCTCGCCCTGGTACCGGGGAGCAGCAAACTTGCAGGCCTGGGAACGGGACCCTCGTAAAGGAGTCTATAGACAGGGCGAGAGATATAAAGGAAGAGAGATCCCGTTGAGAAAGCAGAGAACCTACTAAGTAGAGCCAGAGCACCGGCTGCTGCAGTTTTCAGTTAGTTAGATAAAAAAGGTTAAAACCCCCTATACTCTCTGTAGCATACTGGAAACGTGCAACCCAGGAGAGTTTTAGGAACCACAAAGTTAATATTAAGTTCACCGTAGCTCATTGTAAATCTCACATATTCCCTACAACACCACCACCTCCTCCCCCCGCTACGCCCCCGCAAATCCCTAGCCTTGTTCGCTCTTTATTCCTTGACGTAAAATTACCTGCTACATAATCACTCCGAGAAAAGCCCGCCGGCCTCTCTCACCTGCCTCCGGCCCCTCTCCGGGAAGCCGCCCCCGCGGTCCGCCCCCGCTCCGGGCCCGCGCCTGGCACCGCCGCCGCCGGGGCTCCGGCGGCAAGAAAACCGCGCATCTCTGCTATTCCTGACCCGCCCGGGGTTTGCACCCTTGTCCATTTCCCGTTCACAGTAGGTCTCCTGCATGGAGAACACCACCACAAGGAATTCCTACTCAGCTGAACTGCCGGTTTCTGTTCAACACTCACGGGGCTGCGAGATCCCTCCCTCTACCCCTCCTTTCACTCAGTCATTTGTTTAAAAATAAACTTAGGAGCCATCTTTATAATTTAGTTTACTTCCGAATATTTTAAATATTATGAAAAAAAAAAGCCATAAACAGCGCTGTTATTCAAAACATTTTGAGGTATAAAACATAAAAAGATTTGGATTTTCTTTTTTTTTTTTTTCTTTTCTTTTTCTTTTTTTTCCCTTTTGTTTTGTAAAAAACACACACAGTGGTTTATTGAGTACTTACAACGTTTACACCTTCAATATTAATTAGATTCCACTTTTTCCCTTACGGACGGAAGTGCACATAACCAATAACTGTTGAAAACATCTTCAAATACCGAACGACCACAACAAAATTACAACACTAAATACCGAGTCAATCGAAACATTGGTGCAACTGCTTCTGTTGAAATATAGCTTTATAATCCCATGAATATTTATATCCAAAAGGCCAAGTATTAAAGATACACTTCACATACACACTAATGCCAGGGAGGGATTTTTTTTCCTTTTCTATGGTTCTGGTTTCCCCGTGTGTTTTATACAGAGCAAATAACATTCACGAAACATTTAGAGACATTATCCCTTACCAAGCTGGAGTTTCCTCTTCGTATATGGAATGCTTTTTCCCTCTCCTTCAAATATCCACATTTTGGAGGTGGGGGGGTTGGGGGAGAAATTGCACATAAATAAACTGGACGATTCCAAATACAAAGAGTCCTCAGAGAAGAGCTCACTACCGAGACTAAGAGGACGGCTCCTCCAGTCCTGCCGTGCTCACTGCTTGAGCTCCAGAGCCCAGACATGCTGCGGCCAGCCAGTCCTCCCTTTGGTTTTCTTATCGTTGCTGCTAACTGTGCTTTTCAAGATTTCGTTCTGGGGAGACAGGATGCGAGGGGGAGAGAGAGAAACAGGAGGGGGAGAGCAGAGAAAAAAAAGGTTAGATATATTCCTCCCCTTTCTAGGTCGCATCTACCCTGCCTCGAGATCGAATACTACGAGGAGACCTGAGCTGCTGTCGAGGCCTGCGAGCTGCAGCGGACATAGCCGTGCCCCCTCCACCCGGGGTCTCGCCTCGGGAGAAACCACCGCCCGTGGGAGCGGCCCTTCGTAGTGCTTGGCCGCCCGTGTTCCCAGCGGAGGCCGATCCCCGCTCCGCGCCATCCCCGTGCTCTCCACGCCTGGAGCACGGTAAAGCGGACTGGAGGCTGAGCGGCGCCAGTTGTCCACGAGGAGATGGGGATTACGATAAGGTCCCTGCTAAAGCATACCCCCTCCCTGACTGCGGGGAGAAGATAGGCACCGGCACGTACCGAGGCAAAACATCGGATCCGCGACCACCCCAAATCTGCGGGAATCAATCACACGCAAGTGTGCCTTAGGGCCTACACGAAATCGGGCTGCCTAGGTCGACTCTCCCGTAAAAAATCAAAAAAGTTGAAGCTCCGAGCGCAAAGGCAGGAACGCCTATTGCTGCGAACCTCGTACTTGCCGACGGTTTAAAGCCAGGCTGGCTTAGCACGTAATCATGCCTCCAGATTTTTATTTAAAGAGAACGGAGGCTTATCTCCTGCGGCATCACGGTTTGGGATCCGGGACAAGCAGCAGCCCGGGAAGTAACGTTCCCGGGGGGCCCTAATGTGGCAACGTTTTCCACGCGGCTGCTCTCAGGCGCCATTTCGGATCCGGACGTCGACGGCTGCCCGCGGCTGGGCGCTGTCCCACTTTTGGCCCGCAGGTACGGCCAGGGACGAGTGGGACCGAGGTGTCCCCTATGGACATCCCCTGGCCACTCTGCTCAGCCAGGCACCGGGAGCCCCGGGATAGGGTGCCGGTGGGCAGCCGAGCAGCCTCCTCTCCGCGCCTCCCCTGACCCATCCCGCCCCGTCCCGTTCCGGAGCACTGACCAGCTCTTTCTTCCTCTTCTCTTCCTTCACGTCTGTCTTCTTGATTTCTGCCTTGAAGGCCTCCGCCTCCCCGTTCTGGTCGTCCTTCGCCAGCAGGTCCATGAGGTAGGCGATGTAGCTGGTGGCCAGACGGAGGGTTTTGATCTTGGAGAGCTTAGTGTCGGCGGGCACGTTGGGGATGCACTCCCTCAGCTCCGCGAAGGCGCTGTTGATGCTCTGAGTCCTGCGCCGCTCCTTGCGGTTCGCCGTGCCCCTGCGTTTCACCGGCCGAGGCCCCCCGAGCCCTGGCGGGCCGTTCCCGGGCGGCACCCCCCCGTAATGGGAGTGGTCCATGCCCGGCGCCCCGTTGGCGTACTCGGGACTGTAGGACAGAGCCATGCTGTAGTCGGGGGGGGACATCTCCGGATGGCTGCTGATGAGCCAGCCGTGGAAGTAGGGGTTCTCCTCGTGGCCGCAGCGTGTGGCGGCGGCGGCAGCGGCAGCGGCGGCGGCAGCGAAAGGGTAACCCTCATGGTGCACCACCGGGTGGTGGGGGAAGCCGCCCACTAGACTCATCCCCGCTCCCTAGAGCACCCCACCCCGCCCCCCCCCGGGCCCCAAAACAAAGGTTTCCCCTCCCCGCCCGCCCCCCACCCCCCGCCGCAGCGGCGGGAGATGTTGCCCGCCGCTCACCCCTCAGCACTGTCCCGCTGCCCTCTGCCTCTCCATAGGGCGCTGCTGCAAAGTCCCCGCGGGTGCCCGAGCGATCCCCCCTCCCCGGGCGCCGCCGCCGCCGCTCATGCGTTGTGCCTCCACCTCCTTCTCCTCCTTGCCCAGAGCCGGGTCTTCGAGGAAGCGCGCACAGAAAAATAATAATAATAATAATAATTAAAAAAAAAAACTATGGAGATAGGTCGACCAAAACAAAATGGTTTGGCTTCCTAGCCCGGGATCTTCCTCGCCTCTTGCTTCCCTCTGCTCTCGCCAAGTCCGTCGCGGCCCGGCCGGGTGGTACTTACACGCGGCCCCCCTCCATGCGCCCCCGGTTCGGGGCGGGCGGGCGGGCGGCGCTCCCCTCTGCCCTGCGCGGCGGCGGGGCCGTCAGTGCCTGGCGGGCACTCGCATCCCTGCTCTGCCCGCCGCGGGGGTCAGCGCCCCGGCGCTCCTCTGGGGCATCCGCACCGCTCTGCCAGGCGCGGCGGCGAAGGGACTCGGCGCGGGGCACTGGCAGGGCTCCCCGGCCCGATCTCCATGTACAGCTACATGTTTAGGGCCGCTCGGGTTAATATATGTCGTCAGAAGCGGCGACCGCCAATGGCCGTGGCGGAGGCGGGGCCCGCCGCCCTCCGCAATAAAACTTTTTGATGTTCGCTCTGCTAATTGCCGAGCTCCTCTTTTAGGATTGGCTGCCCCTCCGCATCCCTAATGTAATTAAAACAAGGGGGGGAAATTATCATGGAAGCAGAGGTTAATGCAAGTGTTTAGCAGATGCCTTACAGTAAAATCTGCATTAAAAAGATATTTAAAAAAGCAATAACAACCCCCCCACAAACTGATTAAAACTTAAATATCGGATAATCTCAAACCAGGTACAGTATGTATCCAAGAAATTCCTTGGCAAAAATCTATGTGAGAGCTTAATAGGCTCTGAGGTTGCTTTGGCAAAGTGCTTTGTGCCGGTCCGGTAGAGGAACAAATAAAACCGGCTTCGGAGAGCGCACTCCATCGGTGCCCGGTTGTGACAGGCATGCCCCAGCAACGCTCCGGCTTATACTTATATTGCTGGTTAATATATACAGAGAGGTTGTTAGTTCCCGTGAGGAGAGGGCGAAGCTACTCTGCCTCGCCTGTCACCCGACATGCGACCCGGGTTAGCACGGGCTGGCTCCGTCTGCGCGGCTGCTGAGTGACCGAGGGAGCGGAGCGCTCGGTGTTTGGCCAGGGACGGTATTTTCTTCCTGAAAGAATTGCTTTGAGACACTAACAATGAGCCTGACTTTAACCGATTCTTTTCCAGCTTGCTGCCTGCGCCTATGCACCTCCACCAGTGTTCACCCGAGTGACTTACGCGCCTGAAATCGGTTTCATGCCTCTTTAACTGGTATGATCGGTAAGTAACCGAGTATTTTTTACAGCATGTTCCGAGCTAATTTTCTAGCTTTTACTAAAAAAAATTTTAAATATTTAGCCGCTTTCCTGCTTCTGCAGTAAAAAAAGACCAGCATCTGTAGAAAACAGGTTTAGTTATCGAAAGGGAGTAGTTAAATGTTTGTTTAACAGCCAGGCCACGATGAAATGTCTCTTAGCTATTCGGTTGCTTTACTTCGGTAAGCTTGAAAGACATTAAAAAAGAAAAATGGATCTCAAACTGGAACTCATGGATAACCAGGAGTCGAAGCGAATTGTTGCCATCTTCAAATGGAACCGAGTATTACAAAATAGCTGCGAAATACCAAATATCCACCCTTAGCTGTGCTGGCTGACGTCTAGGCTGCTTTGGCGTATATTTGCAATGCAATTCTACAATATAGGCAGTGTGGAAAACTGTGTCAACAGGACCCGAGAAGTCATAAATTAAAGAAAGAGAAAGATAGAGATGGAGAAGTCTGCGGAAGGAGGCAGCAAGAGCTGCAGGTCCAATTTCTGCAGCAACTTAGTGTGCTCTGCGGCACCACTGCAGTGGCGGTGGGGAAAACCGCGGGGGGAAGCGCTGGGTGTTGGGAAGAAAGAGAAAATCAACTCAGTGCCCAGGTAGAGGAGGCAAACTGAGCCCGGGCGGTCTCAGCGCGAAGAGGGGCTGCCGACGGGCTGGCCCTCAGGGGTGCCGCTGGGACACAGGGGCTTGTTGGGGCCGGGGGACTTTGCGGGTGAGTGTGAGGGCTCTCGGCAGGAAATGCCCTGCAGGGAGTGGGCAGCCTCCGTGGACAAGGCCGCCAAAGAGCAGCCTGCTGCAGTACCGGGGAGCTGGCTTCGTCGGGGAAATACCAAAGGCGAAGCGGGGTGCCGTCCCCGTGTTTCGCGTGGACGGGGTGTGCAGAGCTGGACCTGCACGGTGAGGAGACGTGCACGGAGCACAGACACGCAGGCGTACATTTTATAAGCATATACACATATGCGTGAGTGTCTGGGTGTAAACTGAGTACGAAAGTGAAAAACTAGTCCAGATGTAGAATTGATGTATACACACATATATCTCATACGTACATACACATGCTTGTAACCGACTGATGTATATCTGTATTTATATATGCACACGCACATGTGTATATATTGTATTATCCTAAGGAAGTAACGTGTCTGCAATGCGGATTTTTAAATGTAAGGAAGGACCTGGGCAGACTATGCAGGCAGAGTCCCGGAGCAGTCAGGCAGCGTGCCTCCGCAGCTCGGGATGTGATGTCTGCAGAGCGCAGCCTGAAAATCCACCCAGATCCTGCAGCAGTTCTCCAGTTTTATTTTACTGCAGTATTTTCTTGATGCGAAGAAGAAGCGGACATTGTCAAGGCCGGAAAGTTATATTGGCTTGCAAATGGGGTTGTGTTTCTTTGCACTCTGTGTAGGAGCTTTCCAATATACTGCAGGCTGGACTCCAACTGTGGCAGTCTCTGTGGCAGGCCACTATGGTCACTCCGATAACATCTCCCATGATGAAGGAAACGGAAAACACGAGACAGAGAAAAAGTAATAAAATATACAGAAGATATCGATCAGAACACCGGTCTCCAAAGCTAGCATCATTATTGCTTAATTAGCTTTGGAGAAAGAGGGTCCCTAGATAAAGCACCCAGCAGGATCTTATATTTTCCTCCTATCCTATCCCATCAGTTGTTTATGAGTTTTACAAATCGAGTTTTAGAGCAAATTTAACTCTTGTGTCTTCCCTCAGCTTTTCACTACTCAGGGTGGTGGATCATGGGTTGCAGCCTTTTCTGTTTGATACACGCGTTGAAAGCCGCTTCAGCACAAAGTACCTTTCCCAATACTATGCTCACAGTCCGCTAAAAAGCATTAGCATCTTGCCGATCTTCCATTTACTGACTTGGAAAGACTTTTTCTGGTTCACAAATCACATGGGGAGAAAACCCAACCAACCAAGGGGAAAAAAAAAAAAGAAAAAGAAAAGAAAAAGAAAAGAAACCCAAGTCTTATGTCACTTTATTTCACTGCCAAAATGGTTGCATGTTAGGCGGCAATTTATCTGAACTCTGCTGCCAGACAAGACTTTCCTAGCTCGCTATAATAAAGAAGTTTTGGTGGCGACTGTGCCGAGGCTGGTTTTCTCTTCCTCTTCCCGCTTTTTAAAATTTATTTTATTTTGTCGGGTGTGTGTGTGTGGGGCCCTATATCTTTGTGTTTGCCTTGCCTTTGTTGCCTCTGCAGCACGACAGCCCTCCCCGGGGCTGAACGGGAGGATGGGGCTGCCCTTGCCCCCCGATGGGTGCGCCGCGGCGCCCGGGGAGCGGGCGGCAGGAGTCCGAGCAGTGGGGCAGCGGCAGGGGGTGGCGGGCAGGGCGCCCGCTCAGCGCCGACGGGGCCACCCGCTGCCCTGCCCCGGCGCTCAGTCGCCGCCGGTCCGCTTATCGCCAGGTCACTTCTCTCCTCCGGGCCAAAAGTAGGATGGGAGTTGGGACAACAGAACAATAGAGCTGTGCACCCACCCCCCTGGTCTTATGTGAATTAAGCTAAATTGCAAATTAAGCTAATTTCTCCGAATCAGTCGGGGAAAACCGCATGGAAACAGGGAAGAGGTACCTACGCTGGGTGGTCGGAAACCCACATCTGCTAGGGACTCCCGTGCTGGCTGGTTGGGAACGCCGCAGCCACCCCGAGACAGGCCCTGCGAGGAGAAGGCCGGGGACAGAGAAGCGCCTCGTCGGTGCCTGGGCAGCGAACCTCCCGTTCAATTCATTTGCTTCTTTACCGCACCTTCCTTTTGAGGGGAGTACTCTGCCGCCAGGACGAGCCTGGGGGACTGGACGCCATGCGGGACAGGGCAGCGGAGGGAGCAGCAGCCCCGCGTCAGCACTGCGGTACCCGGTACCGACTACAGACCCGCCCGTCCCCGCTCCGTGCAGCAGCGCCGGGACCTCCCTTCGTAGTTTTCATTAAAGCAAAGAAACAGTCAGACACACTGAAGCATTCCGAGGGCAGGCACCCCGTCCTTTGCTTTTGAGGTGCTGCCCTAGGCGGGCAGCCCCCTCGACGGCTCTCCTCCCCTTAGCTCCCAAAGTACCAGGCTGCCGATTCACTCTCCTGCCTCCCGGCTGCCTACCACATCGCTCAAACACCCGGTGCACGGCTTGAAAAGCCGAGACGCGTTTTAATTTATAGAGTGCATGATGTCATTGACCCGGGACCAAACGTATTAGAGAGGGGTATCGTTCTCGGATGGATTTGGGGACGCTGGAGCTGCCCGTGTCCCAGGGATGCAACGCATGATATCCCTGGGCCATTACTTAGGAGTTCGCGAAAAGACCTAAACTCAGAAGAAAACGGATTTTTGAAAAGAGGCACGGAGAAATATCATTTGAAGGTCAACATGTCAGTGAGGGTTAATGAAAAGGAGTTGTGCCTAATGGGCCTGCTT